TTTTTTTTGGATGACCGCTAGGGGGAGGTGCTCATATCACCCTCCCTAGTGGCAAGACTGGTTCTTCTTCTTCAAAAAATAAATAAAAAAAGGTGTTCAAAATTCAAATAGCCATATCGGTAAAACGGACATTTTATGTTTTTGCAAGAAATGTAAACCTACTTATTTGGCCCTAAAAATGTCACAGCTTTTGCTCCTGAGGGTCCCCCTTGGATGTATCCGGACTTCAGCTAAGTCCTTATGGACCCTCAGGAGATAAAGGGCGACACTTTTTGGGTCAAATAAGTAGGTTTTAATTTCGTTTAAAAAATGTAAAATGTCCGTTTTACCAAAATGGCTGTTGTATGTTGCCGATGCATGCGATAAACGCTGTCGGATTGTGCAAAGAAGGAAGACAGTTCTGATTGGATTGTGTTCAGTGGTAGCCGTTGGATTGACGCGATCTGACCCGGATCCTTCCATTGCATTGTCACAATTCAATTAATTCAACCGTCATCATCATGACAAGATTGAATTACAGTTGTGTCTTCTTGTTGTCGTTAATGGGCGATCATGGTTCCCGCTCCCTGATCGGTGAGTAGTTCGAGGAGGAGTGAATGCGGCGCCCTTCCATCGATGATATGTGCCTTCTTCACCCCTTTGGTCAGTGCGCGAATACAACACTCCACCTTGGGAATCATACCCCCGGAGACCACTCCTTCCGCCATCAAATCCCTTGCTCCCTCCACATCCACCTCCTTTATCAACGAAGCGATGTCTTTACTATCTCTCATCACTCCAGGCACATCCGTCATCAATATCAGTTTCTCTGCCTTCAATGCTGCTGCTAGCTCTCCCGCCACTGCATCAGCATTTATGTTGTACGCTTGGCCTGATAGATCGGCTGCCACAGATGCCACCACCGGGATTCTCCCATCCGCAACGAGTTCCGTCAACACCGTTGGGTCCATGCTTGCTACTTCTCCCACAAACCCTAAGCTTTCGTCCAATGCTCTTGCTGTAATCAGCCCCGCGTCTTTACCGCACATCCCCACACCAGATCCTCCTGCCTTGTTGATTAATGACACAATCGATTTATTCACTTTCCCCACGAGCACCATCTCCACGACTTCCATTGTTGCTCCATCCGTCACCCTCAACCCATTCCGGAACTCTGACTGGATCCCCAACTTCTTCAACCATTGATTGATTTCTGGGCCCCCTCCGTGCACCAACACCGGCCTCACGCCGATACACGTCAGCAGGACTAAATCCTTAATCACATCAGCTTTCAGACTCTCATCCTTCATCGCTGCCCCTCCATATTTAACAACAATTGTTTTCCCGTGAAATCTTTGCATATATGGCAATGCCTCCGCCAACACGTCAACACGTGTCCGCGCCTCCACCCTTGCAGCATCACTCTTCCCGACAATCGTCTCGATCTCCCCTCTGCTTGTCGTTGATATCGCCGCAGAGGATCCCCCTGATCGCGTTTGACCACTTCCCCTCGATCTCGCAGTCATTGAAACTGTTCCTCTCTTCCCCCTATCACTATTCTCCCACTGCTCCTCCTCCTCCTTCCCCCTCTCCATGCCCCACCCTGACTCTGCCTTGACATTCCTTCCCCTTGCTGTTGTTGTCAACGAGTTCCACTCCATAATATGACCCTTCCGTCTGCTCGCTAACCACCCCAAACTTTGCTGACCACGCTCGAAAGCAAGAAAATTACCCTGGTTCGCCGTGGGCATCGCCCACCAGTCGCTGGCTCCGCAATCCGTTGACACCTTCACGCAGCTCCCGCTTACGGACCTCATCTCACCAACCCGATGCGAAACACCGTTCTCCACTCTCAGACCTCTGTCATTCACCGCCATACTTGAACTCCATCGTGCTGCCCTAACAAAGGCATCTGTAGAAACCGCCATCACCACGCCTCGCGCGCCCCCCTTCCTTCCTCACTCTGCTTGCTTGCTGGACTCCAGTTGTGTTCTCTATGCTGCAGTCCAAATCAGACACTGACACAACATGGGTAAGTCTATATGATCGAACGCCTTTTCTTGGTTACCAGATCAGACACAGACACAACATGGGTGAGTCTACCTCAAAACTAAATGCATTTGTGGGTTGAAGTAGCCATGTTGGTCAAATCAACCAGATTTGTACTTTAGCAGGTTCATGAAACCAACTCTGACACTAGTGATGGTAGGTGCTCCAAGAACTTCACATACTGTAGAGGCCCCAGGCAGACGTACTTCTTCCAAAGCAGGGACAGTGAGGACCAGGTCTCATTGGTGATATTTTTGTGCTATTAAACCATGAACTCAATCCCGAAATGGGGCAGGTTCGTGGTTTCTTGGCATGCAGGGCCTAGTAGCCCTAATAGGAAAAGTGACTCTTGGATTGAGATCTACAGACTCTCGAAAAACTAGTTTCTTCTCTTTTACCACATTGCCTACTTTATTACCTTTACCCGATTAACATAACAAAAGCATAATGGTACACAAAGCCACTTTGAAGTGTACTTATTTGCTTTGCTAATTTTTGAAATGTGGTGGAAATTCCATATCCCCCGGGCATTACTCCAAAGCTGGCTGTATTGAAAATGTCGGGCTGCGACACTCAACCTCATGCCCTACGCTGCTTTCCTTCACGGAGTGGACTAAAATGCGGAAAGGACCTGGAAAGCATGCAAATAAGGTGTGCCAAGGATTTTAGGAAACGTGAGTGTGGAGTCCCAGGTCGGAACTGGTATCTCCCGTGCGGTTCTGATTATGGTTGAGACGAAGGCGGGATGGTGGATGAGCAACATCTCTCTAATTCAAAAAGTACCTCTGAACATCCTCTCGTGCTCTAGGACATCTTTTGCCCGGGTGAAACCGTGCCGGCTATGAATCCCCCTCGGCGGCGGCCAAGTGCGGCCGAATCCGCGGACGCGGCCAGTCCGCCCACCCTGCGGACGAGCGGCTTTGCCGCCACGTGGCGGCCAGAGGGGAAGGGGGTTGGGGATTCGGGAAGCGCCATGGGGCGGCGCAACCCCGGCCCCACCCCCTCACACAAAAAAAAATGAAAAAAAAACAATTTTTGATTGGGGGGGTTGGGCTGTGGACGAGGAGAATCCAAGGAAAAAAAAATGAATGTCTTTTTTTTTTTTTTTTCCGCTGATTGATTGATTGATTGATTGGTGGGGGTGGGGTCGCCCCAACCCGCCTTTGATTGATTGATTGATTGATTGATTGATTGATTGATTGATTCATTGATTGATTGATTCATTTAATATTCGATTTTGCTTTTTTTTTGTTGTTGTTGATTGATTGATTGATTCATTCATTCATTCATTTAATATTCGATTTTGCTTTT